CGAAGATATTTTATTGATTAGTTAAATGATGTATTTTTTATGGAATACTGAAGTGCAGAGACGAAGCGATGATTAATCATTTTATCTAATTTATCGCTGAATTAAAATTGCTAAATATTCTGAATAAGTTCAGAAACGACAAGACATGCACGTTTTGCACCATATTATTGTATATGAAAATCCATAAAACTCGCCTATTAGAACTTTTCATGTATCTCCTCTGGTTTTCGAGATAGTATTTCTGGGTCAAAACTTTGAGGGGTGGTTCCACCCCCTTAAAGTGAATGTTAGTCGATGAAAAAAATACGTGCCCCTTATTTTTGCTTGCTTAAAAAACGTACGAAGTTTCATTGATATCGGCGTCTGCGGGTTGGGAAACCTTGTAAGAATCCTCCCAGATAGCACATGACGCTTTGAAGACGGCTTAAAAACGCCACGGATCTAAAATAGCCGTAAAATTGGCGTCTTCAAGGTGGCATGTACTTTTTGGGATATTTACATTAAACGGAGGAGGTCTCTGATAAAATTGTCATATACAATTCATTGTTCCGAAAATATTTTTTTATTACCTCACGATTTTGTCTTTTTTTGCCCTCGGACAGGTGGTTGCTCGGCATTTCCAGAGAACGAGGCAACATCAGGGGACAAGAATCAAGAATTAGACGTTGTGCGCCTGAGTAACGAGTTCGCTATCCCTTTACAGAAGTTCGGAGGTCAGGCAGAGATGATTTTACCGCAGACGCGTCGTCAGGACACGTCGAAATTCGATCCTTACACGTTACCGTTTATCTTCGGACAATGGGTACACAAATTCTCGATCGTTTTTTTTTTATTTATCTTCAGCAAGGAACAGAAACGAATTCATAATGATTAACACTTAACATTTGATTATAATTGATGATTCTAATTACATACGACGTACCGCCCGCGACTGGCAGGTACAATCCGAGAAGTTGTTGATTTTGCACGTGAAAAACAGTCGAAAATGAAGAATAAAAAAGCTTTCTCGGTATGAGGTTCTATTAACGAGTAAATTCATTTTTGCAAATTTATTTGGTACGCGAGCACTTGAATAATATTACTTATCTATCATATCTGAATATTGTTGATTATTTCTAGTTGCGTTAATTTCTTATTTAACCCGTTGATATTTGCTTATTAATTATAGTGCCATATAAAGTTATGATCGGACATCTTGTGCATTACTATCTAATTTGGTAAAATTATTGTACGTTAAATATAATAACCATTGATATAGCTCGTTTATTTTGTAAAATTAAATACTATATAAGAAATATTGAGTAGTTAAAGAAATAAAAGATGAAAAATATGCAATATATTTGAAGCAATTCAGCGAACCATTCTACGGTATCAAATAAATTTATACATAGAGTTATCTATTTTTGTTCCTTTTTCTTCAAGAATTAAATATAATCACCTTAAGTGGGAAAATCACAAAGGCTTTATTAATAATTACAGTTGACATCGCATCGTCGGCTTCAACAACAAGACTTGGAACCTAACAACAAATAAGTGGATGAAGCGTTTTGTTGTATTCTGGATTTAACATTAGATAACAAAACACGTAAAATTTATAAATGCAAAAATGATAATATTACATTTTGGTTGCTCTATCGTGACGTTGACATACATATTTTTTCGAACTATAGATTAAAAAAATGATTATACAATTTTTGGTAATCTGTACGTGTATATCGTTTCTAGTCGACTCAAATAGTAAACGGAAACTACTGTGTTTTGCCATTGTTGCATGCATTTACGATATGTCTTTATAATGGAGTACAAACTTAAATTGTATGTAAGCATAGACTAAACCGAATAAAATGTTATTCCTTGACACCTTCGTGTACCTTTATTCTCTTTTACACTACGTGCATATAATCGGGAGAATTTATTTTTTAAGAAATAGTATTTTTTAAACGTATGAGATTATTAAATATTACATTACATATGTTATCGAACAGTAATTATAAGAACATTGTTAGAATTATAATTGTTTTGCACCGCTTCTCAGTGGATGCCGTCATACACTTCTCGTGTAGTTCATCTTATGACAACTGTCACAGCGTCATACTGCCAGTTTTCGTATTGACTAAGCATTAGATTTGAAGCTCAAAGAACGTAGATTAATCCCCTTGCATTGATAATAACAATAAGTAAGCAGAACATTGTTAAAATCGTATTTAATCGCGGAATACCACCATTTTTTTGACCGGTGGCGCCACCCGTGGCAAATTGTTGAAACTGTTAGCCAAATTATACCGACAGGTGAGTGAAAATTTCTGATAATGGAAAAATGCAAATGTCTCAGTAATTAGGCGTTCAAACTTAATTCTGTTGATCTCAAATTATTCCCTACGATCCAATGCATCGATCTAATATCGCAGGAACTGGTAATCCGACGAATTATATTCTCAAAGATGATCAACACTGACAGAAATAATTCGTCTAATTATGGGGTTCTGCTGTATTGGATCAATGCATTGAATCGTAGCGAATAATTTGTGAGTAACAACGTTAACTTTGAGCGCCTAATTACTGAGATATTTTCATTTTTCCATTATCAGAAATTTTCACTTACCTGTCGGTATAATTTGGCTAACAGTTTCAACGATTTGCCACGGGTGGCGCCACCGGTCAAAAAAATAGTGGTATTCCGCGATTAAATGCGATTTTAACAATGTTCTGCTTACTTATTGTTGTTATCAATAAAATAACGTTAATCTACGTTCTTTTAGCTACAAATTCAGTGCTTGGTCGAGACGAATGCTGTACGTATAACGTTGTAAGAGCTGTCCAAATGTGAACTACACTGGGAACTGCAGGACGGGGCTCAGTGGCAATCGTTCAATTAATTGCGATTTCAACAATGTTCTTGTGATTATTGTTTCTTGGCCAATAGAAGGTATTAATCTACGTTTCTTAAGCTCCAGATCTAGTGATTGAGGTAAAAGAATGGTACCCTTTTAACGCTGTAAATGTAATCTAAACATGTGCATATGATACCCGAATGATGCTTGCCATTATTGTCGTAGAAGTTTACGGAGGGCAGCGGTGAACATTCTTTTTGACCTGTTTCGACAGTGTTATACGGACCGTTTTCTTCTTCAACGAGTATTCGTTTTGAAGCTTAAAGAACGTAGATTAATCCCCTTGCATTGACAATAACAATAAATAAACAGAACCACTGTTAAAAAAATAATGGTATTCCGTGATTAAATCCATTTAACAGTGATTCTGTTCATTTATTTTTATTATTAATGCAAGGGAATTAATCTACGTTCCTTAAGCTTCAAAACGAATACTCGTTGAAGAAGAAAACGGTCCGTATAACACTGTCGAAACAGGTTAAAAAGAATGTTTACCGCTTCCCTCCGTAAACTTCTACGACAATAATGGCAAGCATCATTCGAGTATTATTTGCACACGTTTGGATTACATTTACAGCGTTAAAAGGGTACCATTCTTTTACCTCAAGCACTAGATCTGAAGCTTAAGAAACGTCGATTAATACGTTCTATTCGACAAGAAATAATAATCACAGAAACATTGTTGAAATCGCAATTAATTGAACGGTTCTCACTGAGCCCCAGTCCTGCAGTTCCCCGTGTAGTTCAAATTTGGACAGCTCTTACAACGTTATACGTACAGCATTCGTCTTGACCAAGCACTCAATTTGTAGCTAAAAGAACGTAGATTAACGTTATTTCATTGATAACAATAATAAGTAAGCAGAACATTGTTAAAATCGCAATTTAATCGCGGAATACCACTATTTTTTTGACCGGTGGCGCCACCCGTGGCAAATCGTGGAAACTGTTAGCCAAATCATACCGACAGGTGAGTGAAAATTTCTGATAATGGAAAAATGCAAATATCTCAGTAATTAGGCGCTCAAAGATAACTTTGTTACTCACAAATTATTCGCTACGATTCAATGCATTGATCCGATACAGCAGAACCCCATAATTAGACGAATTATTTCTGTCTGTGTTGATCATCATTGAGAATATAATTCGTCGGATTACCAGTTCCTGCGATATTAGATCGATGCATTGGATCGTACGAAATAATTTGAGATTAACAGCATTAAGTTTGAACGCCTAATTACTGAGATATTTGCATTTTTCCATTATCAGAAATTTTCACTCACCTGTCGGTATGATTTGGCTAACAGTTGCAACGATTTGCCACGGGTGGCGCCACCGGTCAAAAAAATAGTGGTATTCCGCGATTAAATTGCGATTTTAACAATGTTCTGCTTACTTATTGTTGTTATCAATGAAATAACGTTAATCTACGTTCTTTTAGCTACAAATTGAGTGCTTGGTCAAGACGAATGCTGTACGTGTAACGTTGTAAGAGCTGTCCAAATGTGAACTACACGGGGAACTGCAGGACTGGGGCCCAGTGACAACCGGTCAATTAATTGCGATTTCAACAATGTTCTTGTGATTATTGTTCCTTGTCCAATAGAAGGTATTAATCTACGTTTCTTAAGCTTCAGATCTAGTGATTGAGGTAAAAGAATGGTACCCTTTGAACGCTGTAAATGTAATCCAAACATGTGCAAATAATACCCGAATGATTCTTGCCATTATTAACATAGAAGTTTACGGTGGGAAGCGGTAAACATTATTTTGAACCTGTTTCGATTCCGAAGAATAGTTGGCGCGAAATATTTAGTATTTCTTAACAATTTTTATCTTAAAACATTGCTGCCAATTTGCTCCCTCGGAATCTAAAATTGCTCTCATCGCAACTATTATATTCACAAATGAAAAAGCAAAAATTTGTTGTCTGCAGAACATGTACTATCCAAGATTGGGTAGTTCCTACTATTATGCCGGAATTGACCGCTTGGTGCAGCACACATACTCGGGGCAACGAATTCCCGGGCGGGAGACTCTCATTTTTTCTTTGATGTATATATGGATTGTGTACATACATATGTGAAATTAGTATGTGTTGATGTTGATGCATATGTGTTTATACACAAGTTTCTATGAAATAGAATAGAAATATTTTGTTTATTTACATAAACCAACTATTAAGATTATATTGTTTTGTATATACAAGTAATTATTTCCTAACATGGTGAGTAATTTGAATACATTTGGAAATTACTAAGGTATATTAAGGTTATGTTGTTCGTAATACATAACCGTTACAAAGTTGTATTTGAAATTTGTTGCAGTATTCGTTAATTAATAAGACAGAAAATGCACATGAAGATAGTATCTGGACTTGCGCCTGGGGCTGTCCGAAAAAGAAAAAGGAAACTCAACCCGACAATGAAGACTCGCGGTAAGTTTAACATCAAAGCTGTTTTTGCTGTTTGTATGGCTTTTGATTAAGTTTCATAGCAGCATACTCGTATATCTTTGTGATTTTAAAAATGGCTTATGTATATAATGTATTAAAATAGTATGTTTCATTTATTTTGTGTCAATGGATGAAATTTTTTTTTTCCTTTAATCTAGGTTTTCATAAAAAAATGTATGAAACTAGTAATTTGTATATTATTACAGCGATTCAATGCGATCTAATGATGAAGAAACAGTGGAATACATAGTTACTGGGTCTGTTGATGACACTGTGAAAGTTTGGGAACATAGGGAGAAAACATTACAATTGAAACACAAGTTAACTGGTCATTCCCTTGGTGTTGTATCTGTCGCAGTAAGTTCAGATGGTTCAAGTAAGTAGTTAGTCAAACTTAATGTAGTATCTTTTGTTCTCAGTTATAACAAGGTTGTAAAAAGATCCTGGCCATTCAAAATTTATTGGTATTTGAAGCTGATAGAAATGCTTTTTCTATTAGAAGCATTTACAATGTTGGAGTTTCTTTCTGGATTTAAAATCCATTAATATTGAATTGAAATAGAATGAAACAATACAGAAACTAAGTCATATGACTTTGCGTATGGATCAGGATCATCCTTTATACCATGTATTTATGTCAACTCTTTAGTTTCTGCTTTACTTTATGATCACATCTTGTCCACCAAAATTTCACTTTTTGTACCCTAACTTAATACTCATATAACTGAACAGATGTCTTAATTGTTTGTGCTTGTAGAATGTGCGTCAAGTTCATTGGACTCTAGCTTAAAGTTGTGGGATTTAGAAACTGGGGAAAAAATATCAAGTATTGAAGTAGGTCCTGTAGATATTTGGACAGTAGTATTTTCTCCAGATGATAAATTCATCGTATCTGGCAGTCATTCTGGTAAAATACATTTGTATGGAACGGAAAGTGGTAAACAAGAACAAACATTGGATACCAGAGGTGGAAAATTCACATTAAGTGTTGCCTATGTGAGTATTCTAGTGTAACATCAGGACACCACCCTTAAAAGTTAAAGGATAAGCCATGTTTTTATTTCATCATGGTGTTGACTATTTCAGAGTCCTGATGGTAAATACATTGCTAGTGGTGCCATAGACGGAATTATCAATATATTTGACGTCACCTATGGAAAAGTATTGCGTACATTAGAAGGTACACATAAAAAATTTATACTAATAATTTACTTGTATTAAATGTATAATATAAACTTCTGTATTTCAGGTCATGCAATGCCTATTAGATCTTTGTGTTTCTCACCTGATTCTCAGCTACTTCTTACTGCATCAGACGATGGGCATATGAAATTATATGATGTGTAATTTTTTTTTATAGCAAATTTGTCGAAATACAGTTAAATGATGTATCATTTTTCAATACTATTTTATTCTTTCACATAGGAAAGATGCTAATTTAGCCGGAACTATGTCAGGCCATGCTTCGTGGGTACTTGGTGTTGCTTTTTCGCCAGATGGTCAAAAATTTGCGTCTAGTAGCTCGGATCACACAGTTAAAATTTGGGAACTTGCACAACGACAATGCCTTCATACATTCAACGAACATAATGATCAGGTAAAATATAAAAATCATATATCACATTAATTTGCATAGTATAATGACAATGAATTCTTAAGATATACATACAGTTTCGGGTACTTATTAACATTATGTTTGCATGTATTTACAAGCAATAAAAGAAATGTAAAGGTTTAAACAATTTTTTCCAGGTGTGGGCTGTGAAATACAGTCCTCAAAGAAACAATATACTTGCATCGGTATCAGAAGATAAGTGCATTAATCTGTATGAATGTCCAATATATGATAAATAAATGTTCTATAAAGATGAATTAATGAATGTTCATATTTATTATTTTTCCTGGAAGTATTTTACAGTTTATGAAATATTACTTTTCTTTGACATGTGTGTTTCATTAAAACGAAGTGTATTAGTCTCGCCATGATAGAAACACCAAAGTAGACATTAGTAGCTATAAATTTTATTGTACTGCAATTATTAATATACAAATCATTAAGATATCTGCCAAATCTAAAATACAATGTAACAAAAAATGAATTATACTTACGATCTAAGTAAAAGACAATGATTATTACAAACGAACCATGGAAAAAGAGAATTCGGTGTACAGACCAAACATTGTAAAAAGGTGAACATAAAGTTACCCTGGTATGGTTCCAAGTTGGAAGGGTTAAATCTAATTAACTCGAACTGGAACAGGGTAAAACACGCATAACCAATCTCTGTAAATAATCCACAGGAAAATACTACTCTATATTGTGTCAAACATTTTCCTTCTAATGAGGTTTTATAGATCTTGTTCGATACATGTAGAAGGAAAGATGACGCGATACAGAAGGAAACTAAAAATATGTATATATGTACCCTCTGATGCTACAAATATACAAGGAAATTTTGTTAAATAAACCTAAAGAAAAAAAAATATACATTTAATTCAAATCGATAAACATTATACCAAAGTTCTTAATTTTTCAGATCTGCAGATACATAGTTGATCCGTACACACTTCTAGCCGCACCTACGTGAATTTTAGAAATGGGTAACAGTCGAATCTTGTAGACACTTCTTACATGCAAATCTCGATTTTACGTAGTACATTATGACCAAAATAGAAGCTACTTCACTTGTTGATTTTTAAGTAGACTAGAAACTTAAAATAAATGTTTATAAAATTTTGTCTCTTTATATAATGCCGGTTTTAGCGTTACTTAGACCGCTACATCGATACAAATGTTACTACCTTTTTGTCATAACATTCTGTGGTGTTGAAGATGTCCAAGCTTTGTCCGAATCTTCATCGTGTTCTTATCAGTCTTTAAAAAGTAATCAGATTTCATATTCCTCGATGGAATACAAATCAGTTACGATAGAAACAAAATACAGATCTCATCCCTTGCGAATTCACCTATTACGAAAGATGTACAGCAATGTATTTCCTGCGATATACATCATGGGTCGAAATACATATATATCACTAAACTTTCTACATTTTCTCATTCACGTTCAATATATACAAAATTGAATAAATAACCGAGGATAATCACTGCTACGTACTACAGATTTTTAAATTTCCTCCTAATCGTGGAATTTCTCAATATATAGTGTATATACAACACGCAAAGTGAATAGGAATGATATCAGAATTTCCGGCTGCTATTTCACCCTTATTCGTACCTCTTAAAAAAAAAAAAATTTGCATCACGATGCAACGAACCAATAGTCCAGTGACACAATTCTATATGTATGTAACTGTGTAAAATTCAGTGAAACGTGATGAAGATTTTCAGTATCATTCGAACGATGAGATAAAACGAAATGATTAACATACTTATCGAATACTCGTAATGCATACCGTGTGTGGACTCGCTGTCAACACATCGTAAAGTAAATGTACAATGACTAGCCAGAAACGAAAAGGCGATACTACCAAAACGGTTGTTCTTTTAGAAATCTAATCTACGAGCTCTCCCCTATACCGTTGTTACCCTTGTCGAACCTGTGACAATATCGCTGTGACAATCTGTCGCCCCAAATTTGCTCTCATCCTCATTTGGTGTAACTTTAATTGTCTGGGAAGGAATGTCTTGTTTCGGGTTATAATTGAAGGGCGGTACGATAGCGGAGGCTGGTATACGCATACTATTACCATTAACGTGCGTTTGTGCAGAGCCCTCCGCGTTCGCAGAATCTACTCTTATGAAGGAACCGAGACGCGATATTCGTTTCGTTAGGTCCATCTCCCCCGGGGAAGACACAGTGTTCTGTGGTTTCCGTAAAATCACCGATGCGTCCCCTACTTGCACAGTATCCTTCCTGTACGTTGAAGCGTCACTAGACTTCACAGGTATCTTGCAAGGGGCATCGTTCGCATTCATTCCGCTCAAGTCACAAGAGTTCCTATATTTCACTTTACTGGATTGAACGCCCATTACGGGAGGTTTCTTTGATTTAGACTGGTACAAGGCTGACTCAGGATTATTATTATCTTGGGGTACGCCCTCGAACGTAGAACTACGGAACAGCCTAAAAGCTGGTGGATTGTTCACGGATGAAGGAGCATCCACAACATTGGCACAACTGCCAGGCTGTACCCATTGCCTAGTGTCGGATTTCTCAAAACGTTGCTTGTTCTTGCATTCCTCGACTTTTTTCCAAAGACTTGCAATTTTGCTAGTTGCTTCCTTTGCTAATTTTCTAGTCTGCAACCCTGCCGACGAGTTCGACACGAGGCTAGAATTGCTATTGGATCTTTGACCGAGAGGACCTACTTTGCGAAAAACCTTCCCGCTTTCCGCCTGCACGGTGTTCTGATTAGCAGTTGGAACTTTCGAGGCTGACGTTATTTTTCCTGTTGGCAATCGTTTCGGAGCGACTAACAGCGGCAACGCTTTTGGGGGCTGAATCTTCTCAGACGCATTTCCTTTCGTGGTTTTCGATTGGTGTGCCTGCAGAGTCTTTGGTGCGATTTTAGGTTTCACCATTGTTGGGTGTACCTTAGAAGTAGCACCTTTGATGGGTTTCGCTATCTTTGTTTTTATGGGAGAGGAGGATGATGATACTACCATGGGAGCATTTTCCACTTCCGGCTCGTCTTTGGTAAACGTACCCTGTCGTTCCAAGGACTTCACAGCTACATCTTTTTTACCATCCTGCTGATAATTTGAGGAGCATATGCGTCTGTTAAACCAGATGTCATTTTAGGACTTACATTTGCTCTTGCCGATTCTTTCGTTACGTTACTCGAACTGTTGTTATTCTGTCGAAGGGTGGTAGCTCTGGTAGCCCTCACTATAGGTGACGTATTACTTCGTCCTATTGGAATTCCACTAACAGCATTTACTTGTTTTAACGGAGACGATTGTGGTGTTGGTTTTCTCGTTATGGGATTAGAGTAGAGGGCCTTTCTTCTGCCACGGATGGCTTTTGGACTCTCTGGTTCCGATTTGTCTGTAGCGTTTGAATCGTTACTTAAATCTCTCACCATACCTGGTTTAATTATCCGTGGTCGTTTGGTCTCTCGAGGTGGTTCTTCAGTGTTGTTGGAATCATTCTCACTTTCACTGTCTACCGTGTCATACCTGATGTCTTCGTGCGACCTAAACGTTTCAATACCGTCTGCATCTTTGTGATTCTCTTCCACTTCATGTGTTTCATTCATTTGTTGGCTGCAAGCACCTATCAACTTCTTGGAGACACCGTTGACGAACCGCATTCGCAAATTTCGTTCAGACTCAGATTCATTCGATACCAGACTTATAGTCTCACAGTCCAGCAACGGTTCTTCGCTGTTTTCGTTCGCCTTATTTGATTCGTTCAAAGTGTTCAACACGATGGTAGCATTCATCTCTAACATAGTTTGAATTTTATCCGACCGAATACTGTGCGTTACGGCCAACGAAGTTTCGTCTGTACCGTTTGCAGCTGCGTTGCCGTCAGCGTCCTTGAATATGCATTCAGAGTCGTTTAACGTTCTCGTACGGTATCTTTCCCTAATAACTTTGTCAGTTTCGGAATAGCGGACCTGACAGGAGACATCGGCTCTGACGTGTCAGGGCTCTCTTGTTCACAAATGTTATCAATCTCCTGTTGCTCTTGATTCACATCAGAGAAAGGATTCCCCAATACCTGCGTCTGAAACCTCGCTCTGTCTTCCTGTCTACGTTGTTTAGGTGTCAACTTGGAAAATTGTGAACACTTGCCACGTGGAATTCTGTCTACCCCGTTCGCATTTTCCCGCTTGTCTGCCGCAGCTTCCTTCCTGCTTAGTTCCGCAGCTATGGTGTACGTCCTGTACCTTTCCTTGGCCAAAGTTCGCTTTTGTTTGGGCGTGAGATTTCTGTGTTGTCGCTTCTTGGGCGTTGACTCGGCCGAGCTGCTGACACAGTACTCGGAAGAGATTGGAGTAATTGCCTCGTCGGTATCGTTGCCTGCTTCGTCGATTTTGTCAACGATCATTGGATGCGGAGCTTCTTCAGTGCGCAGTTCCGCGTCAATGCACAGTGTGTCACTGCATACAGTTTCCGTGACATGTTCTACCGTTGATTCGTCCATTTCGCAAACTTCATTGAACAACGAGGGTGGGTTAATGTTCTCCAAATACTCACTCAAGCTATTGTTTGCACTGCTCTGCATAGCTTCCGCGTATCGCAAGCATGTCATAGAAAGAACATTTGCAACAGGCTTCAGCAAGTCGAAAACGGCGTCACTTTCGATTAGGCTTTGGGAGTCTTGATCCTTCGGATCTGCCACTTCCGACGTGATGCTTGCTACACTGACCATGCTGTTCTCCATGTCACCCACGTCCGGTAGTTCGTCCATCATTGACGGCGGTTTCACGCTATCCAAATGCGACCCACTGCACTCGTTCAATAAATTTTCTAAGCTGCTAGTATGAGCCTGAGCTTGATTCAACGCTCGTTTTGCTACAACACCGAGAGGAAGGGACTTTTTACGGCAGCTCCTGGAATCCGTCAGGGAGACGTTCTTCATCTGTATCGGTGGAAGTGATGTAGAGTTACATCTGTCCCTATTAACAAATGCCTCGCTGTAGTCCCCTGAGCCAGCGTAACTGGCTGTTAAGGACAATAAACTCCCCATCGAGGACGGTGGTTTGATGGCTTCGAGGTCCATGGATGTCATACTCATCGAATCAGTCTCATTTTGTTTCTTCATCTCCGCATCTACAGCTTCAGCTAGCTTGATTGCTTCACGTTGAATGATTTTCGAGTTTGTCATCATGTGACCACTTTCGCTACTTGCTGTTTCGACGTATTCAGAGGTGACAGTACCTGGATCCTCCGGCACGTCGCTTTTGAAGGAAGCAATGATGGGTGCGCTGATGCTGATACTAGGAAATGAAACTTCGTTAGGAGAATCTTCATTCCAGGTGTCGCTCAATATACTTTGTTTCATGGTGCCGGAATCGCGTTCGCGTATTGCTTCTGTTTGTTGTACCAGCGCAGCTGTTAATCGATCTAACGAGGCAATCATCGCGTCAGGATCTCTCTGACGTCGATATATGTCTTCTCTTCTCCCATGTTTTGGCGTGTCGGTATCTTTCTGTGCCGGTTTGTGCTTGACGCTAATTTCTTCTTTTTCAACACCATCCACTTCACATGCATCCTCCGTTTGACTGTTCTCGTTCAAACAGCTAATTTCTTTTTGTTCAAACCGATCTAGAGCTGTACTGGTTTTCAATGTAGTTTTGCTTAACTTGTCAATTGGTTTCGTTAATCCAGGTTGAATGCATAATTCTAAAAGAGCATGCTCAGATTGTTCGACTGAATCAATTGATTCACTGCTTTCTGAATCTGTTACTTTTGTAAGGGATTGCTGCATTGAATTTTCTGTAATTTTCTCCTTTAACGTTTCTGATATCTTACCATTTTCAGTATCTTCTATAATTCTCTCATCTTCCAGGAGGTCACTGTGAACTAAGGACGACATATCTTCGTTTGATTCAAGGTCTATGCTAGACAGATACTGCTGCTGGTTTGGTTCTGTATTAAAAACTATTGTTTCGTGTAGTATTGGACTGTTTCTCAAATTCGATGGCAATGAAAAATTGCAAAGAATATCATCGCCTATCTGTGAACTATGTGCTATGTTTCTGTTTATACCTCCAAGTTGAGTCTGTAAAATTTCGTTGGAGTGCTCTGCTGTTATTTCAGTTTCTGTCACCTGAGAAAGAAATTTACTGTTTGATTTCGTTAATTGTATAAAATTATTTAGTAACAGAGAATTACAAATAATGGATATCTTACGTTTTCAGTCATCTTTGTTGTATTCGAGCTATAATCAGACACAATATTTATACTTGGTGCATTAACCATATCATTATTTTCTTCGCATGTTATCTGCTTTGTATCTAGACTGATCATAGTGGAATCAATATTGTATTCAACTTGGTCTAACGCAACGCTTGTCTGATATCTGGCTAAATTGCTTTCATTTCGCGGCGGCTTTTCGAAATTGTTTCCTATGAAAGAATGTCTGTGTCTGCAGCAACAAATATAAAATACCAGATTAATCACAGTTACGTGTAATTAAAGCATAGATGAAATGTCAATATAACAATTGCCAACTATACTAATATTACATAAAATATATTTACCTGTTATTTTGCATTCCAATATTAATACATGCTGTAAGTAAATCTTCGTCATCCTCATCGCCATCACTGACTTGATCTAAACATTCGTAAGAGGTGTTTATATTTAATGTACAGGGCATGTTACGCGTATCTCCTGTTAGTTCAAATTCCTTACATCCTGAATCATTAGAAGCCTTTAATGCACTGGTCACATACGAATTAACTCCATTGGTGGGAAAATTTTTATCGTTTTTCCCAAACATTTCATTCTGAACTGTATATTTTTTCTCCACATCTATGAAACAATTAAATTCATACATTTTTTACAGGTTACCATGTTAAATACGCACAAAGAATGAATTTAATGAATACGATGAATTTACCTGATGTTATGTTTTCCGAATTAGATGCCATGTTATTATCTTCGTCGCAATGCAAGTTATTTGATGGTATTTGCGTGAGTGGATTTATCAAACTATCAAAAGAAAACAAAACAGTTTGATTGTATTCTTGAACGTAGCAGAACAAATACATTTTTTCACGTTTATTACTTATCAGATTATATTATTTTTCTGAAACTATAAACATACAAACCTTAATGAGCCCTTGACAGAAGAATGTCCAGCTTCCTCAGCATTACTCTTAACGTTCGTTTGCAACCTAATTTCTTTATCCTGCAATTTCCTTTGCTCCTGCATCTTCTTTATGAAACATCTCTGTCTGTTGTCTTCTTGCAGGTCAGAAGCGGAGGCTGCTCTAGAGGAATTCAGTGACGATGCATGGGGTGTTCCCTCCGTGTAGTAAGTCTTCACGGTATCATCATGAATAAGCTCCTGTTCGCTATTCCTAAAGTAATGGGAGTGTTGTTTATCCTCATCTAAGCTACGCTCCGCGTATCGCAGACTATAATCGGTCGGTTGATCCAAATCCGTCTCGGCATAATCACTGAAGAAGTTTCCTTCCGCGCAATGACTGACACTTGGGGAGATAGTTTTCTGTATCGCGTTCAATGGATTATGCTGGTGCAGTGCTGGTTTATCGTATATATTTCCGAAACCGTCCTTGCCAGGGGAGTTATTGCTGGTGAAGGACAACGAAGAGGGAGTATTGATTCCAGACTTACTAGCGACACATTGGTATTCCGTTTTTTGGCAGACATTTAATTCGGTATCCTCGGACACGCTGGACTGACTGCCAGCCTTTGATGACATGCTCTGGGGCAGATTATCCTCCACCGAAGAGTGGAGCAGATTCTGTGAGCAGGCGGATTCTTGGTCTGGCGCGGAAGACCAAGAAATTGTCGAATTGGTGCACCTTAAATCGCCAAGGCCATTGAAAGCATCCGAGGATTTTAAACGATCCGGGATGGCGTTCTTGTACCGCAATGTGTACCTCTTCTCAGAGGAGACCTTGATCTGGCTATCACTAGTCATCCCAGTGTCGAAGCCAACCGCAGAATGAAGGGACGAAGACTGCTGCTTGATTTGAATATCGGTGGGGGATAATCCATTCAACACGTGGCGATTCACTCGCTCGAACATGGTGTCGGAGTGGGTGCTGGTGATGGAGCGCATAGAGTCCCTGCTCTCGCTCCTGGCAACCCCGTTGCTCTTTACATTGGATGTACTCGGTTGATTGTGTAAATGATAATTGCGTAGTGCCCGAGCGTTAAGTCCCAAGAAACTATGATCCATCTTGAAGAGGAACTTATCGTCCTTGTTCGTGGGGGACGTACTGGGTTCAATGTTATCGCAAGTTTCAGCCAAGTTCTGATCTATTTCCTGCTCTAAAGCTCTCTGTCTTCGGGCGACTAAGGTGGGCAAAGTTGGAAGGCCCAAACCACGAGCAGTTGAATCCAAATGGACGAGGCTGTTGCAACCTGGCCGAGCGCTCAGTAAGTTCTTTAAGGCCGCACTCGAACCCATTGAAATCATTTTATGCTTCGAATGGATGAGACTGCGGAGCATGGGCACCGCGCCCAAATCCCATAGCAAACGCTGGTCCTGTGGACATCTAGCCGAGAGGTTCCAGAGTGCCCCGCATGCATTGCTAACGACAGTTAAGCTGGGCGACCGTAGTTGTTGCAAAAGAACCTGCAGACATCCTCTTTCTCTCACGATGGCTCGGTAGTCTTCCCTGACGGCGATATGGCTAGACACATTTCTCAGTATACCACCTGCATTCTCGACTATTGCCAGAGTTTTAGATGGCGCCTTGTAGCTCAACATATCGACAAGGAAGGCAAGTGCACCGTCCACAGCGCAGATGTCTATTTTATTTGTACTACAATGAGCCGAGAGGTTCCAGAGCGCAGACAGAATAGACTTGAGCGTTGACTCCTTTCGGCCTTCCATCGCAGCTTTCATTAAACCAGTCACAGCTCCAACTTCTCTCAAGGTCTGCTTGCTACTGGTGTCCGCTCGCCACGATAAATTCCGCAACACGCTGGCCGTTACTTGCCTGAGGTCATCGCTGGGACTTCGTAGCTGCGAGACCAACGCTTTCATGAATTCGCGAAAAGAACAGAGCAGTGCTTTATTGTTTCCGTCCCCGAACGTTAGGTTCGTCAATGCCATTCCGGCATATCTGCGAAGAGTGATGCAGTTCTGGTCGTCGCACTCGCTGCCATGGGCCATATGGTCCATCTCGATCAGCTCCGCAACCGCGTGTAGCCCGCCAAGCTGGCACATAGCGTGTCGGTGGGCTTCGTCGAAGGAAAGTTTCATTAGCGCGGCTATCGTGGGTCCTGGGTGTCTCTCCAAATCGTCGGGAACCTGCCCTGTCTCCAAAGACGATCTGAGAGCTTGACAATAGTCTCTCAACTGTTCCAGGAACCTGAGTACCCTCGCTTCTCGACGTCCGGCTCTTTCGTCGCTTTTAGCGTGAACAATGTTGTGCAGAGCTTTTGATGCTTTTTCCCTAGTTTCTGGATCCTGTCCTGGGGCGTGAATCAGTTGTACCAATAGGGGTAGACATCCCGATTGCCTCATTATAAGACAATTGTCTATTGAAGTGCTCATCGAAAGTAGGGTGGCGCTCATGTCTTCGCCGCCTTCGGTGCTTCCCAACATTCCAAGTAAATTGTACACCACGTCTACTTTTGCCCCTAGTCGTCGGTCTCCTTGCACCTCCGCGGAACCTCCGAGACACCCGCCCGAATTGGATGAGAAACTCATCACGCTGGCTACGTCCTAGGAAGTAAGCTGAATATTACCGGGAAAGTTCCAGATCTGGAAGACTGACTGCTTATTTTTGTGTAGTGGATTCTACTTTAGGAAATAAAGACAATCATTGTGTAACCTAACCAGACGTTCGATCTAGCTTTCGTAACTTTGTCCACATAGGGATGCACGTTATATTAATTGAATATTTTATATTATTCTCTTTATTTAGTACAAAATCTCAGGAAGAATATTATTCGAAAGTTGAAATAATATTTGAAGTAATAATTATAGTATCGATGATACGATTCAGAAACGACAGACAGTTGAACGATCAATTATATTATCCGCGAGCACAATAATGAGACTTACATTATGTACAGTGGTTGATGTGCTTTGCTGAGCGGAGAAGCCCATTTGTTGATTGGCCCACAAGTCTCTTCTGATGGGCCAAGTTCCTCTATAAGAGGATGGTACTCTGTGACCTTGCAAAGACGTATCTGCCTTGCCTTCTTCTTCGCTGCTGCCGCCCTCATTGTAGCGTTTATTTCTCCGCGCGTAAATCTGTTCAACAAAAACAAACGAACTCACTAATTGCAACTCATCTGGAAATTAGATGAATTTTCAATTTCAAACTAGATAAACCTTGATCCTGGCGAAAAATATAAAAGAGGTCGCATGGACGTACCAATAAATAAACAAAGACGTACAAATTCTTGTATCTTACGGCCTAAGATCACAAAAGAAGACTCCATTCGCACCGACCAGACACAGCCTCAGCCAAGACAATGGTCAGAGGTTTCTCTCCAATCAATTCAGATTCCCCCGATAATAAAAAGTCAATTCAGATTCCTCGAGCACAGACGAGGAGAAAGAAAGGCTACCCAAGGTTCCTTCCAATACACGCGACCAAAAATAAATACCGTTTAAATCGCGAAGAAAAATGTGTCTGGAAGCTTTTCGTTGAGGGTGGTGTTCCACGGAAGGACGATCGGAATAAATTCTTCCGGATAGACTTTTGGGTGGTAGCCCGAGCTAAAGGGCGGCGAAAGAGAAACACGGAGAGATAAGAAGATAGAGCGAGAGAGAGAATGCACGGTACGTATGCGTAAACCTGTACAACGAAGAAAGACAGAATGAGCTCTCTCTCTCCGTAAAATCAATACGCGGCTACGTTTGGCGGACGTGTATATAGAAGGGACTCGTGTGCCACAAGCACGAGGCAATACCAGTGGTACCTATCCAACCGTTTCTTGTCCATTGAAAATATCGTCTACAAAACTGTAGAAGAGCATCGTGGCCGTGTCAAATGATCAAAATAATGTGAACAGAACCGATGGTATCGACTAAACAACGAAATTAATACGCTTGTTGTTTCTCGTTACATAACGATGCAGCAGTTTGATGCTCAAACGGTAGTAGCGTTGTGTACGAATCTAGGATGGAGGGAGAGAGATAGAGAGAGACTAGCAAATAGATTGACAGTTGCGTAAACAGATTTTGTCGTTCGTGCGATTTGACGATCTTGTCGAATTAGTTTGCATACTGTCGACCATCTGGCGCTCATTAATTGATTCACGTAGTTCATTCCATGTAATGTCACGAACTGCTATTGGAGACCTTCAGGAAATCTTTTTATGGAAATGTATCAGTGAGATATCATACATGTGTTTGCATACTAAAGAAGTCGAATTTACTGGGTTCCATACATTTCTGCATTCTGCAAGCGTGCCAAACACAATGGAAAGAAGTAATTAATTTCTCGGTCAACAGGCATTTCCATAAAACACATTTTCTTTTGACCCTGATGTTGATGAAGGAATCCGTGAGAATAAGAATTCGCATAAACGTTCGCATCCCGATTACAAAAAAAAGCATTAAGTAACTACTAAAAACCTCTACAGGGTGGACACATTACAGTCTACAAGTATTGTTACTATTATCACCACGAATGTCGCGTCGATGTCCTACAGGAATTATTCCCATAGAAAGGAAACAGTCTCCTATTCTTTCACTACATATCATAAAATACCAACAGAAGTACAAAGCCACTTAAGGAAAAAAATAAAGTAGTTCCCCCAACCCCATGAGCCTCCTACGTAATCGACTAGCCTATACTACCCTCGACAACCCAAAACGAATAATAACAGTTGTTCAACGAGCAGTCTACAATGAAAAATGCAACGAACAAGGGGTGGGAAGGGGGAGGATGATCGAGAGTGGATCAGCAAAGAGAAAAATTTACCTCGGGGCTCGGTGTGGACGACCTTCGTTCGTCCTCCTCCTTGACTTCCGGCTCCATGGCATCCTCCTTGCTGGTCTCAGCGATCACGGAGCCCAGGTAGAACCTTGGCCTGGGGTTCACGGCATTGACGGATGACGACGATGGTACGGTGGAGGACGAGGAGACCGTTCTCAGCGCGTTCCTCGCCGCAGAGCATCTCGTCGATGTCGCCGCCGATGCGACGACGACGGCGGGGTTGAACGCTGCGCCGTCCAACGACGACTCCAGCTCGTGCGCCGCGACGCCGCCGCCGCCGGCCAGGGGCGTAGGTATCTCGATGCCGTGGGGGCGCCGCTGGCCCCTCCAGGAGCCGACACCTTCCACGCCGACGCCTACCGGCCCGTGGGACACGCGACACTCGTCCGTGAGCAATCGCTCCGCAATCTTGTGGCACTGCTCCGCGTCTTCCTGGAATAACAGGAGGGATCGAGGATACTTTGTGGTTAAACGTTCGATTAGAATCCGCGGAGAGGATTGCAAGATAATGAGGAACTGACTGATCGGTTGTAGAGGATCAAAAGTAGAAGTAGAAGAAGTTTAAGTAGATGTAAAGTCGAGGTAAAACTGGAGATAGAAGTAGAAGTGAAAGTAGAGGTAGAGATAGAAGTAGAGGTAGAAGTAAAGTCGAGGTAAAATTGGAGATAGAAGTTCTTAGTTTGCCAGATGACAGACCATTTGAGTGTAAGTCATCGAGATCGTCGACACTTCTTCCTTCCTAATGGATATAACGTAAACAAAGATGCCCACCGCGAGCTACCGTCCATACGATATGGCCTGGTCGTAAAGCAGACCCTTGATAAGCGATCCCTATTGATACCGCGCGACTTAGAAGTATTTGTATTCTTTCGTGTAAAAGCCGCAGATATTAGATTGAGTTATAAATAGCCTGCAGATGCGTTTTCGCGTAAAATATCCTGAATTTGCATAAAGATCCGCAGTCTGGTCATACAAATAATTACATACATTTTCTGAGACAATTTATAAGTGACGCTGGTTTATTATAAAGGGTACGGTCGTAATGTTGGTAAAAACAGAATACATTATACTATGCAAAAGAGTTGTCTATAATCTTGTACAGATCTCTACCATCTACGGAACACGAAAAACGATCTGCATACCACGGCGCGTGATCCTCGGAAGCAAATGGATATTGCTGCCGCGTATTCATTCCATGCAGTTCATTCATTTTTATCCGACTCGATTTAGTCCCCCCAGCAGTCGTCGTCGCGGTTTGCCTCTCTTTTTACCGAAGGAAAAACAAACACCGGCGGAGAAAGGAACGTCGTTCAAATTCGATCGGAAAAAACCTCACGGCTCGCGCCCGCACTTTCTCCCAGGTTCACGGACGCTTCCCGGTCATCGTTACAGCATGATCGTAGTTTAGCACTGGCTCATTAGACGCGGCACGATACCTCGGCTGCGTGCAAGAAGCAATTAACCCACAGCGTTCCAAGGAAACGGAAAGGTCATCCGCTGCGAAACATGGACAATGCGACCCTGCAGCACCCGAATCGACCGCGAAAAATGTGAATTATTGTCTCGATACGGTGACACGTCCATCCATTCCTAAATTTTATGAATCTACAAGGATTTCCGTAGTTAAGACGACGAAGGGAGGTTATTCTAGACAGAAAATATCATACGAACAATGAGTCAATTCCGATTCGTTATCGAGATACGATGCTGATGTTAGCATCAAGAATGCTGTTGATGCGGACAATGCCCCTTACTTGGGTGTGTAGTAGCACACAGGTAAACATCAGTGCAATGTGTTGGTTTCAGATATAATTTCAGTGTAATGTAACCTATAGTATGTACAGGGTGTTTTATAACACATGGGACCCACTTGGGAGCGGTGGATGATACAAATGCAATGGAAAAAGTTGATATAAACATGTACCATATATTTGGCCTTGGTCTCGAGTTACAACCATTAATTAATACCTGATCAAGAAGGTAAAAGCATATCACTGAACAGAATGATGGAAACCCAGCGTAATCTGTCACAATCGTGTTAGAAACAATATGATAGTAGCCAGATAACTTTTATCTACAGTAGAACACACGATTATCGAACAGTATTAGAGACACTTAAACTGAATACCACGTACAATTTTCAAAAGTCTATAGGCGAATACCGAAGGGTTATGCTGAAGTTTTTAAAACTTTGAACAATTTTAGCTAGTTATTATATAAAGAGAATCTATAACCTAACAAAGATTTTAAGCTGACGTAGAACTCCGTTACTGGTACTCAGCTACAGATTTTAAAATGACGTAGGACTACGTTCCAGGCTACAAATGTGTTAAGACGTTAAATCTGTCTTGAACGCCGAAAAATTACGCGAAAGCATGATTGGGATGATACAGTCAACATAACTTGAAAGTTCAGGGAGGCACGGTGATGGACGTGTTAATCGTGGAGTTACAATCAATCGGAGCATCTCGTAAACAGAAAAAGAGAAAACCTTTTACCCTTGTCTACTATTAATGAATACGGGCTCCTCGCTGAAAACTCGGTTTCTGTTTGAATCCATAATTAATGGAGGGATTGCGGATCACCGAAGCAGGTACTATTGTTGCCGCTTGTCCGCCACTTTCACCCAGGTTTTCACTGATATCCAAGAAGCGCGCGGGTCTAATGAATTCGAAGGACTACGCGCAACGTTTGCTTTCTGAATAATTCCACGGAATGTATTTGAATTGCAGCAGAAGGCTGATGCGTTCGGGAACGATACATCCAAGGTTGATCGAGTGCAGTCGATCCTCGATTATTCGAATCACCGATGAGACATACCTGGCTGTTCCAATATGAGGATTCTCGGATAATAGGAACCTCTCATTTTTTTTTTACGCCGATCGTTTCATATTTATAAACAGCAAAGGAAATAATAACAACGAAAGCAGACAGTTCGTTTCCCACTTACGGGCAGAAGGAACATTTGATTTCTATTTTAGGTGCCCAGTCGTTTCACTTTCTTCGATGTCGTCTGTGACCGAATTTAGCAGTCGATTCAACGCCATTTTCAGGTACTTGTCGATGAGGTGTTATGATTGAATATTCACGAAGGAGTATTGTAGATAATTTCATAAGGAACAATGCGTCCAAATCTGAAGTTAATGGGATGAGTAATTGCGTATATCTGTTAGCTGCCAACTTACAAGGCCCTGCTAGACACGACGATAGATAATGTTGTATAACTCCGCCATCTTGTAATTATCATAATAACTAGTATGTGAAACTAATGTTAAAAGCTTGCATAACACTTCTCAAAAAAATCCCAATGTATTTCACCCAATAATTGCTCGAGAAAAAGATATTTCATTTACCTATTCCTTTTAGACCTGCAAGGTGGTATATCCCCTTAACTGAGAAAAATTTGAACCAAATCTCGCGACCCCGTGGTCCGCGAAATCGTTCGTTCGTTCGAAAACTGAAGAATAGCGAGGACGCGGGGCCATTATTTATTTAGCTTTCACCGGTGGAGCTTCGTTTCCTTTCTCCGGGCCGGCTTCTTATCCCAGTGATCTCGCGCCACCATTGGAAAGATAACCTGGTGTTGCCTCCATGACAACGAACTAGCCAGGGTGGAGAATCTCTCGGTCATGGAGCGTGTCTGTGACGAAGAATAAGCGATCAGGTAAACCGTTTTATCGCCGGACAGACAGCTGTGTTTTTACAGCGTCGCATAGAGACGGTAAAACTCGGATACACAACCGTAAATCGGATTTAAAGTGAACCGTGTGTCGTGAACGTCCATCTTGATGGATGGGGAATTAAGATAAGGGGACTCGTGTCGAGGAGCCACGGGACGAGGCTGAAAATGCGAAATGGAAATTGAATTGACGCTACCGAGACGATAATACGGATATCCTCGGGAAGGAGGGGTATAGAAGCATTTATCCTAATCAGATTGATACACAATTCGTTATTTTTTGCATACGAGGACTTTAATCTCGTTCTGCTCGTCTCTTCGATCGAATATCTACTAACTACTAGCGAACAACAAAGTTATCACTTTCTCCATTTGTTTGATTTTTAAACGAGGCAGATGTGATCGTTACCAAAGATTGTATCTCAGGTAATCTCTAGCGATGCCCATTTTGTTGGTTTCTAACTGATAAATTTTTGTGTCAATGATATTTCGATTCGTTAAGGTTTGCAAGTGAACCTCGTTCCCCGTTACTGCAACGATTATGAAATTTGTAAATTCTGCGATGTATTCCTATTCACTCCGGCGATCCCGGAACATCGAATTCGAGCCCCCCGCGCAAATCGTATCTTTATTTTTGACACGACCAACCAAGGAAGCATATTTTAGTCACGTGCGTCACGTACGCGACCAGAACACCACACGTTCGTCGTCGAACGTTCGTCGGGTTCGAGAGAAATGTCTCCCTTATTATTGAAGTGATCGGAAAAGAATACGTCGAGAGTTCTCAGGACAGTCGGGAGTCTGTAAATGAAAGACAAGGAGAGCGAAGATTGCAACTTGAACAAATGACTCACTCGGATAATACATTAATAGGAAGTGATTGTGCAACAGCAAACGAAGATAATGACACGTATGATAAAACAATTCTACACCGTGTAAAATATATGCGAAACATAGGAATCAAGCATTTGTTTTGTATTGCTGTCAACAAGAAACGGAAAATAGAGGTACAGTATTATTATACGTCTGTTCAGGTTTTTGTTTCAACGCCAATTTGCAGAAAAAAAAACTGAATGTGCCATTCATTTAAATTTACAGACATTGTAATTGCCAATCCTGTTTGTTACCAGATTACTTGTACAGAAGACCAAAAATATAACGCTTGAATTGGCACTTACAGTGTTTTCTATACAGGCGACGTTGAACGTACCGGTGATGACATTTTTCAGCACTACTGCTAACTATTTACATAGGGATATTGTACTTTAATTGCATACTACAGTATTCCCATTAGCACGTTTTCGATAAAAAAAAACAAAAATTTGTAATTCTAGCACTTAGTGTTTTTCTACAAACACTCTTCGATTATTTTGCCGAACAAAGTGACGATCGCCTTTATATACTGAACATTTTGAATAATTGTACAAACGCTGAAAATGCAGAATCAAGAACGGGTGAAGCACTTTTAATTTCGAGAAGCACGTTCTATGAAGGAAGTCTATTCTCGAGACCGCTCGAACATTTTCTTCCAGCATGGTCACGAACACGGCTGTGTCGCGACAGAATTACCCCACGAGTGTTCTCTTTTGCCCTATTTCGGTCCAATTGTAAGAAATAAAGCGACAAAGCGAGCGTATTGTGACGAAACCAGTGGTATTGTGAGAAGCAATCAAGAGCCTCCCAGAGCGACAGAGCGTTAAAACCGTTTCGGCGGACGCTTTTGGTAGCCGGTTCGCTAATGAAGAATTCTAATTCCAAATGCCTGGGTGGACATTAAATCTCACTTGGACACTAAAATCGACGGGATGAATCACGCAATCGGATCGAATCAAAGCCTCTATTGGAGGAAAAAAATTGAACGATATAACAAACTTCGAGACATTACGATCTTTCTCAGAAGTGTTATTGGTGTGCATCACCTTCGAATCACTCCCGAAAGAGTAATATTTTGTAAACCCGGTTTATCGTTCATTTCAAAGCTGGATAATGTACTGAAGAAGGTAACCAAATTTCCGGTTGATACCAGTTTCGGTCACTTGTCCCATAAATATACCAAACCATTCACGTAGCCATGGTAATGTTAATTAACTGTCCAACAAAATTCAACTTACAAACTTTCTTCCGAAAAGTGGTCAGATTGAATCTTTCATGAATACGCAAAGATTTGACGGCTGAAACGCGCGGCTAGAAAGCAGAGCATGCTAATCAGTGACACGAGAAAGACGAAAGCAACCGTCTGGTTGTGTGTTTCGAGAGGTGCGTCGATAAATATGACTCATTCCATCGGACGTGGGTATTAACTGGATCGATTGTTAATTGCGTTTTTTTTTTAGCAAGACGCAAGTGCGAAACCTGACTCGAACGGGGGTTAATTCAACTGCAGTGGGAAAGAGGAGGAATTTGTTGAGAATAGTTTCGAGTGGAGCGCTGACTGTGCAACACGTTCAACGAATTGAATTAAACACGATGCAGGGGAATTGAAAAAATCAAGAACAGAAACGACCCGCAGTTTTTACGGAATTGCATCGTTAAGTCATCTTTCTTAAGAGTTTATGGCCTATCAGTTACTGCGGAGGCATTCAAATACATAATGAATGTTAGTCAAGAGCAACGAGCAATTACATTTCTCAGAGTTGACATGAGAAGGGAAATCGTGTCTTTTCGACCTTTGTGATCTATTAACTAATATGAAGAGACAAAAATAAAAGAATAAGGGAAGAATAATTAAAGCAGTCAAAGGGTCTTTAATTATCAGGAATTCTACTGTTCACGTCAAAGAATAAGAACCAAATCAAGAAATGACCGTAAACAAATATTTCTTCTTTGAATACAGCATATATCTACTAAAAAGAATCAGATCAATTTCGATCCATCGACGAAAGCCTCGAAATCTACAGAAATAAATACCTGAAACTAACCAAAACGCAACAATTACAAAAAAACACATACCACCGTACGAGAACCTTGACAAACCTCTAGACGAGCGTAAATTCACTCAAAACGAAAGGAACCTCAAACCTCCGAACGATCACCAAGAGAAAACATAATACAGACACAGTCCACAATATTCCATACGACATCGATGCACCGATTACGCCTCTGTCCTACGTAGAAAACAAGGGTCGACACGTTAGTCTCGACCTCCCCTCGCGCGGGGTGGACTCTATTTTCATCGATGATCGATCAGCACTGTGACGGCCGGCTTTGGAGAAAACAAGAGGAATCCAGCCGCCACCGAACAATAGAGAAAGACAGAAAGAATCACCTTTCTCGAAGGGCACCGATACGGGTTGCAGGACACGTCGCAGTGTCTCATCGTGTTGGTCGATTCACCGCAGGACACGCGATATCCTTCCTCGTCCCTGTCCACTGTCGTTGTCGTGTCGATTCTTCGCTCCTTCTCGAGGGTGTCCGTCAGCCCCTTGTTCTCCATGATCAACCGAAGACGATTCTTCTCAGTTTTAACGGTCTTCGGATTCTGTGGTGTCGTCCGCGGAAGAGGAATCATCGAGCCGCCACGAGGAGGTGTCCTCTCTAGCTCGTTCGTCTTCGACGGTGACGCAGCGGTGGCGGCGTCACGCCTGCCACCGGAAGTGGTCTGGCTCGGCGGCTGTTTCTCCCTGTTCTCGCCCGGCATGCTTCCGTTTGTCGTTGCAGTTTGGCGAACACCACTACCACCACTTGGGTAAAATCGACTTTTCACAACGACGATAGTTTTTTTCAGATTTCTTTTTTTTTTTTAATGATAATCAACGAAACACGATCGTCGATTCACACGTCGCGACACCCGGTGTGTCCTGGCACGACCGACGTCGGCGCACCATCAGAGAGACACACACACAGCCAGAGCACAGTTTCTCTTCTCCGGGTTTCGACCCTTCTCTTCATCCACCGAGGGGCAGCTTCATCGCGCTCCATCAGACGTCGAGTGTATTCCCGCGCATGCGTCGATGCAAAGATTTTCAAAATGTCCCTCCGGCATTTCTGCTTCCTCCCCCGTTCGACGACGCCTGGAATATACCCCCGACCAGATCACTCTTTGCTTCGCTTTGGATAATTATTTTTCTTCTTTGAGACACTAACAGTAGTCGCGTGTGGTTCACGAAAGATCGGTAGAGGGGGAATAGGTCCTTAGGGAATGTGTGGTTTCTGTCCTCTTTTCCAGCCCTGTTGGTTTCTTTTTTTGGTTAGAATTTGTGCTTTCTATTCGAAGGAGGATCACTCGAAATGTTTGTTCGGACCTTGTTGGAATTTGACGTTTAAGAGCTTTTTATCCGTATTCATGCTCGATTTTCAGTTTGGATTTCGGTTAGAATTCAATTTATTGTTGTTTCGAATCGAATGCCAGTGATGTTGGAATTGATCAGATACGTTTACATTGATCATATACAGGTGATTGCTTCCAGTAGGTGTATTTCCATGAATTATCGATAATCGCTTCGATTGTTACGTCAGCTGTATTAATTTTTCGGATATTGATTAGAGCCGAAACGATTTTTCTATACCGTGTTCCGGAATTGTCGTCGCATTGAATTTTCCTTGCGACACAGAGACGTCAATGTCTCGGCATTGCGGGTTCCATTTATAGCTATACACGCTCTGTTGCTCGTTTGCGGCCCACGTTTTACCATTCGTTTCGCAAATCGACCGGACGCACCTTTTGCGGTAGGAGATAAGGAAGGAAAATCTGTTTTCTTCTTCGCGCAACCAGACTGCTTTACCAGACGATTTTATGTAATCGAATTATTTTTCTTGGAAATCGAACTTTCAATTACGTTCATAAAATTTTCATTTTGATTTGCGAGTTTTTCTTTGCGACATTCAGTCATTATATTTACCGACTTCTCTATTTAAACTTCGAACTTTCACCAATTTTCACACACAAAACTTTGCTTCTAGTTCATTAAAACCCTGCTTAAAATTTTCCCTCCTTACCTAACCAAAGTTTTCAACTTATCCGCAATTTTCTAGTCGAAACATTTCATTCCTCCGGAACGGCAATATTTAACAATGTTTACAACAGCACTTTAATTTCTACATCTCATTTGCTGAATCCTTCGATCATGATTTTAATTTCTCTTCCTGTCGATACAATTTCGATCACACGTCGGTCGGGGACCAAATCCGGTCACGATTCATCGAAGATTCACCACGCTCGAAGTACACATCCAGTCACGCTGGACCACCTCCGAATCTTCCAAATACACTTCTGCTCCAAAACTACACGATCAAACCACCGGTGTTCAAAGTCCTCGATCGCCACGAAACCATTCCCCGAATCACTCCTCCGTACATCCCATAAAAATCTCTACCCTCGATCATTAAACCATCTCCCCCCGATTCCTATGATCCCTAGCCCCTTTCAAAGCCACTTCTACAAAAAAACCCCTTGGCGTAACAATCTTTCCGCACAAACGTGTCACGTTAGATTCGTTATTTTCTCGGTTGGTCGACGGTTAAAGTGATCGCGAAAGGGGGTGTAAAGGACGACTTCAAAGTTCCTCGAGAGAGAGCGTCGTCACCGACGTCGAGGAATCACCAAACCGTGCGTAACGATCACCGCGTAGGATAGCAAAGTGAACTGTGCACGCTGAAGGTCTCGCCAGGATCGTCGTCGTTGTCGCGACTTCAAAACACGGTTCACAACCGCCTGTGCCTCGGAACACGCGTTTTTCTTCGTCGTGTGTCGTTCTCTGACGTTTTTTTCATCGACGACCGTATGAAGATGATATCGTGGAGAAATGACGAAATGTCACACGGGGAGAGAAACGATATAGGAGACCGATAGAACCGGAAGGTCGGCCGATAACGAGCCTCTAAGAGAGACCACGGACGCGACGTGCGTTCGGGGACCACGCAGTGTTGGTAGCTGAAATAAACTGCCGTAGGTTAGGGGATCGAAGAACAGCTGGGCTCGGCCTGGCTGCTGTACGCCATCACTGACTCACTCAATGCCTTCCTCCCTCTCTTTTCAGCACGCTTCTTTGTGCACAGTCCACACTCGTTCCTCTTTTGATACGGCTTTTACTATATATCCCTCTCCCTCTCTCTTGCTTTGTCACTGCCTCTTTCTCTTCCACTCCTTGGCGCTAACCCCCCTCCTCCGCCCACGATCATGATTCCTACTTGGTCTCTTGGCTCTCTCTTTCTCTTACACGCTTTTGGATAAATTATCCCTCTCTTTCTTTCTCTCCATCTATACGCGAACGACTGTTTCGATCGGGCACCGTGGAAATAATATTTGCATTTGCCCCTTTCGCTGAATCGGACACACAATGCTCCATAATCGATTTGTTTTCTTTGCTACCGATGTGATCTGACTGATGGGTTTTCGATTGTTACGATTTTTCGGGGAGGTATATTGAAGGATTTATAATGTTCAGTTATTTGATGCGATTTTTAATTAATATTGTTGTAGGGCGAGGATACTGAAAGATTGAGAATGTCTTACGAATAGAAAAGAAATTTTCACAGACTGTGATTGCAGTGGATTTAAGCTTGAACAAGGGTGTCATTTTTTTTCTTTTGGTAATAGATTGATTAAATTATTTTTTAATTCTGGTTTACATGCAGTAGTGTATTAAACTGTAAATTTATTTTATTTTTCCAGTAAAACTGTATATTTTCGTTTATACGGTTACGTATTTCTTCATTTACCTTGATCTTTCGTGCGAAATCACTGTTACGTCATTCGACGTTACCACCCTCTTTCCACCTCTCCCGTATGAAACTATGCCTCCCCACTCCTTTATTCGCTTCAAATTGTCCCCTCTAACTGCACTGCTCCAACTAATTAGAGGATCATCTACTCGAATGGCTTTATCAATTTAATGGGACACGCGTTGTGCGATACACTAGATGTACACGTCAGTGATACCGTAAAAACAGTAACACATAACATACAAAACATTCGATAAAAATATTAATATGACGTAACAGATATTAATTTCGATGCAAAATTAATTGCAAAAATCTAAAGATAAATAAACACAAAAAAAAACTCAGAGAAAAATCACTAAAAGATATTTTTCAATGAAATTTAATCTTCTCATGCGAAATGTCTTATCTTATATGTATAAAAATTACTTTTTTCTTCTTCTTTTTCTCAATACAAACTTCTGTCCGTTACCTTTTTTTTTGCTCCGCATCTCTATCAAAATTCCATCAAACCCTCGTGAAACAACGCACCGAATCCTTTCTCCCACAAAAACTCTATCTTCACTCCTCTCGTCTCATCTACTACCTAATTTCATGTTTTTTTTTCTCTCTTTTCGAATCTCTTTTATCGCTCGAACGTCGACCCTCCCCTATCTGGGTATATCTAATCAAACCACCACCTTTTCTTTCCCTCGTTAGGGACCAGTTTCCCAGACGTTCCTTAATTAACTAACGGATCGTCGTCTTCGCGTATCGACTGGAAGCTACAGACTGCACCGAGACTGTTCTTGTTTCTTTTTTAAATATCGGCCCTCTTATCACTGCGTTTCGTTATCGAGCGCCTTTGGCATGTATCTTCCTTCCTACTGAGATAAAACGAGATTCATTTTTATCGCCGGTTTCGCGGCTTTACGACGGCTTTATCCCGGATGCTCTTCTTCCTGACGAGTATATACGATAGCGTGTAAAAGAGTCCAACCATACCTTCGAGTTACCTTTTATTTATACACTACTACTTAGGGGCGAGTTGCCTATATCGTGCCACTTAAGATATTTTACGTTGTATTTCCTATTTGGCAATTAATTTGTACGCAAATTAATATTGACCATTACAGCCTGATGTTTTACACACCTATTACTCGATGTTTACAAAACAAAATTGTGTCGTTACAGTACTATCAGCTGAAATATTTTGCTTATATTTCTTATTGTTCGTTTATTTTATATTTCTCACTATCAAATGTCGTTTATATTAATTAATTACGAAGAAACTCATGAGGATATTTAGAAGACCAGTACGCTATAGAGAACTCATACATGTATTCACCTATTCATATTAGGTTCACCATACTAAAAAGGTGCGAAATTCTTTCAAGAAAACTAGTTGTCTACACAATACAGACCATAAAGTAAACAAAATCCATGAACATTTTTATTAAAAGTTCACAAGGTAAGCTGTAAAATGAAAACGAGTGAAGCTTTTTCTTTGATGGAAGGACAAACACTTATGAGCGGTAGTATATTTAGAGTTACTTTTTATCTTAACCCAGATATTACTACGCCGTCCATTTAAAAGTAATTTGAATACATTTTTTTCATAACTCGCATAGCGGAGTGGCATTTTACTGCTGTCCCTTTGAAATAACACGCCACGTATTCCCCGAACTGTTTGGAATTTATTTAAAACTTGTTTCCTGTGTATTTCAATACAAAAGTAACTCAGTTTTATGAAAAGAATATATAAGGTAACAAAAAATAGTTTCTGTAATATCTGGGATAGCCCTTATCCGTCCCTCATTTTCCTAACTTAATTTGTCCCTCGGTGTCAAATTAACACATTGGGAAAACTTAATATAATAAAGAGATAAATGTTCTATATATATACGAATATACTTTATCGTTCAATTCGTGCATAGAGTGTCGTCAGAATAGTCCGTATGATCGTAGTACCACTTTAAGCTTTGGCTATCGTTACATCAATTATTCACTGTATCATAGAATATATTTTAAAGAGTCCACAGGCACGACGCTATGTAATGATTTCTATCTTTGAATTAATATGTACAGACACTAGAGGCTCTGCTGTACTAAAAATCTGAAACAATCGAGGACCATGGAAGCTACGAAAATCCGATAAGTTCCATCCCAAAGCTCGATGAAACCAGTTTCTTTTTATTGGTTTTAGTGACCAGAACTCGCACATTCGAGGCAAAAGTAAAAAAAAAAATGACGAGGTTGTAACTCGGTGTCCCATGGCGCGATACACTTGAGTCATTTCGAAGGGCAGAAGAAGCTCTGATCAATAACATCCACCCCAAAGAGTGGCACAACCCCTCTGCAATAACTCCCCTATGCTCGTGGCGCATGCTCACGAATTAAATACCATCCCTTCTCGCGATCCCACCATGCTCTAGCCTTCTGCGCCATGGGGGTGGGGAGGAACGAAAAAGAAGAAATAAATACACGGAAGTGCTAAAACACACTTCCGTATATAGCACACACACACACACACACACACACACACACACACTATATGCACGCAGTGCTCATTCTTCAGAAATCTTCAGAAAGTAAATTATGTAATTGTGATGTTCCCATCAGACGCAACAAAGGATGATAATCTCACTTGTTC